ACCTCATTTGTGATGAGAACTCCATCAAAGGCATTGTGGTGTGAGAACTGAAAGAGTTTTTGAAAGGAAGTCCAGCATAACTGTAGAGGAATGCATCACAGGAACAGTGAGCACTTAGGAAATAATACAGCTCAGTTGTAAGGAGATTGCTTTAATCCCCAGTTTGAAGTGGGGGATGCTCTGTTTTCAGAGTTAAACACCATTGCATTTCCAAGAAATACTGCATAGTGTGTCTGTTGGAAAGAAGGGTCTTTTTTTGCAGGATTTTATTTGCAGGTCTAAACTAAGGGTTTGAAATGAAAATCATTCTGAGTAATGGCTTCTAGACAGTCCAAACAAACAGTTGCCATAACTAATTAGGTCAGGAAATTATGGAAGCCAGTATTCTGCCAAAGCCTCAGAGGCACTGGGTGAGTTTAGTGTAAGTACACAGAATGTAATTACCATGCAGATTTGACAGCAATAGCTTATTGTGCCAGCAGTACTGCATGTGGGGTATGAACACAGATCGGTACCCATATTCCTTCAGAGTTAGCAGGCTTGAGGCAGAGCAATATCTCAGCATTGCTGTGGGTTATCCAGATTTAGTAGAAAAGCTGAAAGGATATGGAATCCTATTATGACAGAGGTTAATTTTGGGGAATTTGCATTTGATTTATAAGGAATTTAAAAGCACAACAGAGAAATTATAAATGCGGACTAAGGCAGCAACTGCATGGAGCAGTAGATGCAAATGCATGTTCAAGAACTGCAAAGGGGTGCATTCAATTTCAGAGAAGCTCTCTGGGGTTCCAATGGTTGGTGAGCCACAGATAAAGGGGACAGGCAGGACCTGATACCAAATTACAGCAACAAACTGTAGCTTAATCTCTTCCTGCAACTCAGTTAGTCTTAGGAGAGGTATTTCAAACATTTAGATGGGAAGAAAAAATGCTGAGCAATCACCAAATGAGTCGCTGTTGAGGGAAGGGGGTATGACTGTGTGGGAAACCCCCAGAAGCCTGGATTTGGTCTAGTCAGCTGAGGTTCAAAATCTCAATTTTAGAAGCTCTTTCAGCAAGCTTCTTTCTCTAAAAAATACTGAAGAGCAGGGTTCTTGTTAGACAAGTCCTCCTTTTCATTTCCTTTGTTGATTCTTAGTCACAAACTTTCTTTCCACTGAGCAATATAGGAAGATGTGGTAAACTGGCTGAAACATTAGGCCACCTGATACCTTCCAGGTGTTTGGGACTTTAATTCCCATCACCCAGGCAATACAGCTAATGATTAGAAATGCTGACAGCTGAAGTCCAAAATATTTGGAGGTCACCGACTTGGGGAAAGTTACATTAGACAAAGAATGCAGAAATGGACTTCTAACCTAGTTTCAGATCTTTCCTGAAGATGTATTAAGTTACCATATTTGTTACACTTTATTTACCTTCTTGCCTTGGCCAATCAGCTGTTCATGTTTACTGTGTACCAGTAAAGTGGTAATGGCATGATGATTTTGCAGCTCTTTGATAGAATTTGCTTCTCACAACACATGCTTGACTATATGGTGTTCCACAAGTCAATGGTTCAAGCATAGATGTGCAACTGAATGACTTCCTACAATAAACTTTTTTGTCCAAATCATATTCCTGGCTCTTATTCTGATTTAAATAGAGCTAGTCACCATCTCCCTGAACCTACGAAAGGATTCATTCAGTGTTTTCTTCTTTCCTTACTAATTTCATCAAAATTCAGCAGCATTGGAATTCTTATTAGGAGATGATTTACACTGCAGAGCACCCCAAAAATATTATTTGTAGTAAAGCCAAAGTGCCAGCATTGGGGAGAGTCTGTTCCACCATGGAATGCAATTTCACTGTAAATTCCATGCACATTTTGATGACTTACAGCACAAACATGTGCATGTCCACTCAGAAGTAAGTCCCATTGGTTCTGTGGAGTTTAGTCCAGGTAAATAGGATTTGACAGAGAAGCCACCAGACCTCTCCTGTGATTGCTGGAACCCTCCTGTATCTGCTACCCATTCTTCATGCTTGCCTTTTGTTTCTATAAATGATTGAGGGAATTTGCAGGTAGGACTGTCTCAAGACGTTCCACTGCCTGAGGCAGAACAATAAATGGCTTTCCATCCTTGCGAGTCATGATGCTTTGTACCTAAAGTTAAGCCAAGGTATTTGGCTCATGTGGTAGGGAGTCCTACAGGCACCCATCCTCATTTCTGATAGTAGAAATGCAACACACAACCATTTTGTGCTCTTTGATGACATCCAAAATTTGCCGCCTGTGGTGGCCACTTCACTTCTTGGAATGGTAGAACCAATCCTGGCAGGAGGCAGATGACTCATGCTGCATCCTTCAAGCATGAAAGCCAAACACTTGGAGAACCCTTTTCGGGTTTGCCTAAGTTTGACTAAACTGAAGTGCACATACTTTTACCTCCCCCCCCCCCCACCAACAACCTTCTCTCTTCCTTTTGTAAGGGTGAGGCAAAGTAGGGGCACTGAAGTGAAGTACAGGAGGCAAAGGAAGAGGAAGGAGGTTTGCTAGATGTACTGCAGCATCTACCCCACTTTCATTTATAGCTACATGACTCCTTTCCACTGTTTGGCTAATGGAGTGGCTGTTTGCTTGTTTAAGTGCAGGGTATCTGCTTGAGTCCAGACCATTTGTTGAAGGCAAGCCTGAAAAGCCTCTGCTGCTCCCCTGGAAGGTCTTGAAAATGATAGAAGAGTAACCTCTGTTAGAGTACACTGAGCTCCAGATAATGTAGATGTCCTTCACGTGGGAGACCTGTTTCCTCCTCCTGTGACTTTGCTTCCTTACTTGCCCAGCTCAAAAGACAGATGGCAGGCTGGAGACTCATGCACACTAGTAGAATTAGTACTAGGCGATGGCCTCTTCTTTGATGGCGGAATATGCTGAGGGACTGGAAGGATGCACACATCAGAACAAGCAGCTCTTGAAGGTTTTTTTGCCTGAATATGCCTGACAGGCAATTAAGTGGTTTCTGTGCTAGCATGGTTTCCACAATCCTTGTTCTGTCCTCCCATTATCAGCATGTGTCCTATCAGTCAACATTTCTGAAATTCAAAGCCATGCTGGGTGGCTGGAACAGCTTCTGCAGCAGCTGCCACTCTTTTACGGGACTCTGTGGTAGTTGCATGCCAGGACCATAGAGACCATAATGCTGGGTTTGCATGACCAGGGAAATCATGGTGAAGTATACGTTGTTTCTTATCATGGTTTCTAAAAACCAAATGTACCATACTGAAACACAACAGACTATCCTATGCAAGAAACCTCCTTGGCTTGTTGTATTGTGCAAATCTATTCAGCAGGACCATGAACATGAAACTCTCAAGGAAGAGGGTGGGTTCCCATAAGCATCAATAGTTCTCAAAAAAACAAAACAAAACAAAACCCCAACTCTTTCCCCCCACCACACAGCTTTATTTCCATGAGGAAATTGCTGGAGTGAAAAAGAGAGAAGGTTAGAGTGAGGGTGAAGGATTCTCTCAACTAAGTTTGCAATGGGTCCAACCCAGAATTCATAAAATCTGTAGTAGCATACACCCTACATTAGAGTGCTGTATGGTAAATGAAAAGTAACTATTCCACATCACTATCATAGAAGCTCACATCAAAGTGCTAGCTTTGACCATGATTGCTGCTATACATTGTGGATATCTAAAGAACTGTCTTCTCTCATTTGAAGTCGCCACAAATTAAAGTATTCCACAGAGACTTTTCTTCAGGTGCTGCCACCTTCAGAGGATTGGGGAGTAGGTACCAAAGAGATGGCATTGCAGTAGTGACATCTAAGCTATGGAACTTCTTTCCTAGACCTGTTTGCTTAATTTTCTGCAAACATTGAGACTGATAGCTTAAGCAGTAAGAATTTTCATTATTCCACACTTGATATAGTACTGATATCTCTATTACCATCTGCTATTTGAAAATTTATCACATTATTCAATTTAAAAGAAAAAACAAAAACAAACCCTTCCATACATAATAATTTTCAAGAGTCACACATGTATTAATACACAATATATTATATCAACATATAAGGAGTTCTATACTGAATATAATGAAGGGCTTTATAGAATACATGGTGTTGGTGAAATGTTAACATGTTAACGTATGCTTTAAAGCAAATAGTGTACATATAAAAACAATTTCATACAAAGTGAAAAACCATTTGACACACTTTTATGCTGACTTTTGGATTATTTTTACCTTTTTCAATATGACTCAGACCTTAATTCTTCATCTACACCAAGTAATAATAAAGGGAGCTAACCTCAGTGAGGGGGAAATGCTAGCTTGTTAGTAATTAGGAATGGCTGTACCACTTCCAGACTGTGGGTGGTGCAGTGGTTTAACCAGCTGAGCTGTTGGGCTGGTCGATCGAAAGGTCGACAGTTCGAATCCGCAGATGGGGCGAGTTCCCATGCTTTCTCCCAGCTCCTGCCAACCTTGCAGTTTGAAAGCAAACAAATGCAAGTAGATAAAAAGGTACCACTTTGGTGGGAAGGTAGCAGCGTTCTGTGCACCTTGGTGTTTAGTCATGCTGGCCACATGACCACGGAAACTGTCTGCGGACAAACGCTGGCTCCCTTGGCTAGGAAACAGAGATAAGCACCGCCCCCTAGAGTCAGACATAACTGGATTTTAATGTCATGGGAAAACCTTTACCTTTTAATGTCATGTATCACTTCCACAATTATTGTTTTACTGAAAAGCTAATGAACAAACTAGCTTTTGTGCATTCTAACCATTTGGTAACTGAATGACAAAGCCTTTTAAATATTTTTTGTGGTAAAACTCAATAAAGCATCTTTTCTGTACAAGTAACTCAAGTCACAACATAAATTGTCAAAAAATGAACAAATAAAATGTATATATCATACAAAATGTACAAAGCCCATGTTGTCCAGTATTCAGTATATTCAGGAGTATTTCATTGCACAAAGTAGAGAGAAACTCAATACACACACTAAGAGCATGCTTCAAGCTTTGGTTTATTCTTAAATTAAGTAGCTATATTTCATACCCTGCAGTCTTAGTAAATCATTTGTTCTGAATAAGTGGCTCCTATTATTGCTCCACCCAAATAAAATAAGTTGGCTTTCACAAACAAGAGGACAATTTCAAACAGAAAATTAGATTTATAGGGTCTCCGACCTTCTATTAACTGGTTTTATATTTGGAATGCTTTTAAATACTCAAAAAAATGAATTAAAAAACAAAACTTCATTATTCTTCACAGCTTTTGTTTACATCTCATATTTTTTTAAAAAAAATCTGTACAAGTATATATAAAAATAATTCTAATATGGCACAAAGGTGATATTCTCTAGAAAAGTAACCCCCCCACCCCAGAAAGTTCCATTACAGTTCCAGAAGGTTTTATTGACCTATACAAAGTGAGCTTCCCTGTGCTCCATTTCTTGCATCCGCTTTGGCCTTAATCTCTGGTAAGTGGGCTTCGAGTCTGTAGGAGAAAGAGTTTCAGAACCAGCTTTTTGTTGTTTTACATGCTGACTAGAGGATCCCAAGGAGCCCTGGGCAAGCCCAGAGTTCACCACTACCTTTGGGTTGTCATCTTTGATTACTGCTGTACAGGGTTTGGGTGTGGCACACTCATCATTTGGTTTGGCCTTACAGTTGGGTGGTGGTTTATAAAATGTCCCAGGTGGTGGTTGCAAAGTTCTTGGTGTTCTGAAAGCAGCAAGAGGATTAGAGTCTGCGGAATGACCTTCTATTGTTGTCCTTGAAGCTCTGACAGGTACCGTATATGGCTTATTAGGAAGTATGGCATTTACTGAATTGTTAACAAGACTGCTAGATGTAGTTAAGGCACACGTGCTTACAGACTCTTGTGTCCTATTTTCCTGGGATATATTAGTCACAATCATTGCCGTCCTTGCAGTCATATCATACTGTTTATATTGCTTGTCCCAAGTTTTTTTCAGAGTTTGTGTGTCGTAACAAGAAAGCCTGCAGCCAGGATTCACAGGTGGAAGCAACTGAGTCTCAGAAATGTCTTCAATAACAGGACTTTTCCCAAGTTCTCCTGGATTTCTACTAACGTTTCGGGAGTTTCTTTCATTCAAAACACAGGGAGGAAGCATTTGACCTAGAGGTAAACTCACAGGACGAACAACTGGCTTGGTCCTTTGAGAGCGTAACTGAACCTTGGCCATTTGACGATTTGGTCTTGTTAACTGACTGACTTTAATGCCATCTTCGATTTGAGGGAAAGATTGGTCATTGTCTTGCTCTGAAACTGGAGCCAAAATATTGCCTATGAATGAAAACAGATTGCTTTGGACTATCAGTTTGATACCAGAAAACATTTTTTGAGTAAAATCATTTCACAATCAAGTTTATCTGTAAATAGCAGCTAAATGAAGCAAAGCATATTTTAGGAGGCCAGATAGTTGAATGAAAAGGCAGGTTCGCTTAGTTTTCAATAACATCCAAGATCATGTCAATTCCAGGGAACTAGAACAGCACAAACCATAAACATGAAATTATCTTCAACCTTCATCTGGGTCTGTGTCACAATCATTCTCAAGTTCACGTCACAGGGATTAGATTCAAGAATTATTACTGTCTCTTGTGAGTTCACTATTTATTATGATGTCCGGTTCTGGCACAATGGATATCAAATAGCTCAATCTCCCGAAGAAAGCAGTTCCTGACTAGGTGGAAAAAAAACTCCCCAGACATGTGCAGCAGTCGGCAATGCATTGTGGAAAATGGGTTGGGGGCAAGAGAGACCAGATCAGAAAGAAATAGTAAAAGAAATCCCTTTAGACACCCTAGCACAGTGATGGTGAACCTTTTAGAGACCGAGTGCCCAAACTGCAACCCAAAACCCACTTATTTATCACAAAATGCAAACAATGCAATAAGACCTGAATACTGACGTTTTAGTTTAGAAAAAACAACTCACAGCCAGTCCAAGTAAATATAAATATATCCTTGGCAGCGCACTGACTGGCCATGTGAAAGCTTGGACGAGTTGCGGCTCGTGACGTCATTGCCTGCCACCGCTACTCCTTTCCGAGCATGTACATGGCCCCTATGTGGGCTGTTATCTGATGCTCGGCTGCTGGGGTGACTTGGCTCACATGCCGACAGAGAGGGCTCTGCGTGCCCCCTGCAGCACACATGCCATAGGTTTGCCACCACTGCCCTAGCATAACCTGATACTTAAAGATAGTCATGCTATGTGTGGATAAAACAAATGGTTATGCTCTCTGTAGAGGTATCTTAAGGCTGTTATTAATAAACTATTCTGTTGGGAATGAAGTTTGGCTTTTTGGCTGATCATAGCTAGTTTTCAAAGCATCTGACAACTGCAGGCACACTGAGAAACTGTTTACCAGCCACACTGATTGTCATTTGACAGACCAAGGACCAACAGAGCTGACACCCGTGTATATGAATGACTGTAGCACCCACTCTCCGGACCTGACTTTCAGTTTAGCACTGTATACTACTGGGCAGCTGCAGTCTAAACATTCCTAGATATCAGTCACAAAGGAATGTTAGCCTTTAACAACAATGGGCATGCCTATCCACTTCATCTTATGAAGAATAGCCCAATAACTATGATAACTTGGTCTGGGAAGACTCAGATGGCTCTTCTGGGAAAGGAAGGCAGGAAGAAACTTTTCAGACATAGGAAAAGCCTAAAAAAAGAACATAAATATAGCTGGCCAGCAGCTGTATACATATATATGTACAATTGCTTTACCATTGTTACCTCTTTTAAAAAATCCCCATCATGTTTTTTGTCTGCACAGGATTATCTATATTATTTTAGAGATATCTAATATAATTGAGTGGGAAAATATGCATTAGACAACTGTCTATTGTTACAGGCTTTTGTACATTTGTGAAAGGTAGCTAATGCATTGTTTCATAATGCATTGTTTCACTGAAATACAGGAATTACTGATTTCCACAGTGAGTTAATAATCCTGAAACATCTTTTAAAAGCTGTTTTAAATAGTTAAATGTGGGGGGAGGGCTCTTTGGGATTAGAAATGATAATTTGTGACTGTACTAATGCTATAAGCAACTGAGAATATTTTCATGGAAGACTTACACAAACAGAAGTCATTCTAACAAAACATGTTGCCTTCTGTTTTGTATTTGAATATATAGGAATTTGCAGACTAGCAGGATCAGCTCTATAAACTGACCTGGTTCTTTTGTAGGTGTGCTATGATTTTCCAGAACTGAGGAAACAAGAGGTTCTGATGGAGAATTTCTCCTGTCAAGTTTCTGTTTAATTCCATCTTCGTAGTTCCATTCTAGGAAAGCAGCCAACAATGCAGGCATTAAATCTCAATGGGAAAACCTAGTAAGATAGTCATTTCTGGCTTAAGACAGTTTAATATTGTTATATAAATTAAACAGGAAGTATCAATACTTGTCCTATTAACATGGGGCATGTAGTGAACATCTGAATAAGAGTTCTGCCTCATTTGTACAACTATCAATTGCAATGTAACACACACACACACAAACACTAACCTGTCATGGATGCATCGCAATTTCTTTGAGTGCCTTTGCTACTATCTGGTTCATCAAGTGAGGTGCCCATTTCTGAATCCTTCCTCTCATTCTGGACTAACTGGATGCTCTGTCAATAGCAGCAAGATTAGAAATGAAACATAGAGTTTTAAAAAATCTGAATAAAATAGTACACATGCAATGACATTAACAGAAGCTGTTGTTCCACACCAACACTCACTTCTTTCACAGTAATTTCCTTCATGCCACAAGGCGGTGTTTTTCTTTGCTGGTAAGGTTTTCTATCTTCAGTTGATGAAGTATTTTTAGAAGCAGCCGCATTTTCTTCCAGGTGAGAAGCAACTGATAGAGGCTGCAGAGAAATGTCAAAGATCTTTTCATAGTATGTAATGAGGAGCTCCACTACCCGTGCTTGATATGGATAGTCCACAAGTGAAGAAAGAGAAAGTGTAGCATCTGTCTGTCGTGGTCTGATCAGAGTTGGACCGAATATAATGCCAAGGTTGCTGGCAGACATCTTATTTTCATCAGATTGTTCAGAAACCCTATATAATGGAGCAAAATTATGAGTGTCAACAAATATTAGTGTCAACAAAATGTGCTTCTATGAACTAAAAAACAATACAAATCTCCATATTAATTTTAAAATTAGTGCTAATATGTGAAAAATGATAGGACACCAAATATTATTAGGATATTCACACCACCATTTAGGACAAGAAAAAAAATACAGCTCATTTTAAGAAATGCACATACATCTATTTTAAATGATTTTTTAAAGCATATTTTGAATTAGGCTGACCTGAAATTTCCTTACCTGTGCAGATGTCCTAAAAGAAACTGGAGTGTATTATAGTTGGGTGCAGGCAACAGTTTCAGTAGATCTTTGATTTTAAGAATGATCCTGTTCAGTTCAATACATACGGATTGCCTTTTTTTTGTTCTGGGGCTTGCCTGTTTCTTATCAATTTCCTCATTAATATTCTGGCTCTCTTTTGCAAGTCCAATGAATTCATTATAAAGCCGAAACAAAATCAAAGGTTCAGGGAGCTGAGGAAAGAACATCAGACATTTCAGCCTGTAATTTTAGCTAAATTCAGATTATTTCCTTCCTATCACCTGCTGTCTAGTCTAGTTCCTTTGCTTTTTCTGGAAGGTGTCTGATACTTATTTTTACTGATCTCTCCCAGCCTCTTCATAATTAACAGACTGAAAAGCAAGCCACATAGCTTTTCTTGGGAAAACAAGAAAACCCAGTTGTTATAAGTTGTCATAAGTTCTGAAATTGTAAAAATTTACACTTTATTTTTAAAAAATACAACAAAAACAAGAGCCCATTAAGTATTGCAATTGGTGTTAATATTTTTGGAATGCAAATATGGTCTTTCAATATCTTGTAAGAAACCCAAACTCAAGAGATAACTGTTGGTTTTCAAAATTGAGGAGAATGAATGAACAAAGCAGTTAAATCACAGAGCAAGAAAGCTGAGCCTCATATATGGATGCAGATTAGACTGAGCAAAGATCCTCATCTTCGGCTTCCAACTCAACCCACTAGGTAACCTTCTTAGTCCCAACATGACAGGTTCATTGTGAGGGTATGCAACTACCTTGGGCTCATTGAAGGATAAAAAATTCGTATATAAAACAAAACTAGGTGTATGACTGATCTATGTTCATGATAATTTTTTCAATGAGAACTTCACTTTTTAAAAAGTTATTTCTATCAAAATAGGCCTTTTCATAGAACAACTTAAAAGAAGAGACAAACTACTAAAAATTATGATCTTTGTCGTGAGAAAGGATAGGAAACTTGTTGAAAGACCACCTATGTTATAGTACACAGTGCATCTATTCACTGTACTGCTGCGAGGAAACTTGCTGCCCCAGTGTTCTACTACTGTTCTGAAGGATTTACCCTTCTCTAAATGAGGGAATTTTAGCTTTATTCTATAAAGCCCTTTGTATTATAAGTGGATACTGGCAGCTGTATAAAAAGCATTTAAAGAACCATTCAGACTAGCCCTGTACTAGTAAATATAAATGAGAGCTCATGATAGAATTCTAATTACTCTATCAATATGCAACTGGACAGCCATCTGAGGGATGCTTTAACTTGAAGTAGTGCACTGAGCAGGGGGCTGGACCCTCTGCCCCTTCTAACTCTACTATTCTATGAAACAGTTTACTACTTATAAATCTAAAACCTGATTAAACAGAACCCAAATCTTTGTCACATAACATGCATTTTCTTAAGGTACAAATGGGTTTGTGTATTCAATCTGGTTTCCCCTAGAAAGCCACAGAACTCTGAACTGAATTCTACGCACCTGCTACTAACTCACAGAGAGGTTATGTTTCTCTGGCTCCCACGCCTTTTCCAAGTTTGTTTCCTGCTTAATTTAATCCCGTACATTACGGGTCCCAATGTTTCTGGACTTTTGGGCACATATGGGAACTCGGAAAACTGTTGTGGGTACCAGCACAAAATGCCAATTCAGCAGGCTGCTGCTCTGGTAGTTGTATCTGTTGCATCTACAGAGCTTCAGTTCTGTCTTATTTAGCAAAAAGTTGTTTCCTGTCCATTACACCTGCATCATCTTTTAATAAAAGATTGTCTTATTCTGCTAATTGCTGGCCACCCATCGTTGCTAATGCATCTTTTGAAATATCTTATGACCAGTAGTTCTTCTTTTATGAGAGGAGGTTATTACGCAGACCAATATTGTATCATAACAGTCTTTACTATTCACTGGTATGTGTCATATTAATGCATAAATGCTTTAAATTATTTATCTAATAATAAATTAACAAATTGAAGGGCAAATGGATTTTCTATGTTCTTTTGATGGCTAAAAGACTGTTGCTACAAAAATAGAAGGATAAACACTCACCTCCTATAATGTAATGGAGTGAGTACCTAACTTTTTTTCAGTTATACAAACAAATGGCATATAAACACTAACTTTAAGTAAATACTTATTTGTATATTTGGTCCACTATAATGGAGCCTATGGATACTCGCTAGAAAGTAGCATACATTTCATATAACTCCATGTATGCATATTTAAACAAATACAAATATATATCTTCTGGGTGCAGGTACTACATTGACATCAAATCTACTTGTGGATATTTTGGGAATATAAAATGCACCTGTCAGATAGTATCATGGGTTTGCAGTGTTCCTGCTTGGCCTTTAGCAAGATCAGTATGAGTTGTAACCTATACAAGATCTCAAAGAAGAGTTTCTGTAAACAAAAGGCAACAACTTTCATTACAAGGAACATTTTCTTAAGGGTAAGTATGCTTCTTGGGTGGTAGAAGTCATTCCATCTTAGCAATTGAGTAATGTTAAATAATCTCTCCAAAATCCACAGCCAGCTCTGTTGCCTTATTTTAATAACCCAATTTAAGGAAATATTTTCTCATATTAGCTAGAAATACCTTAATTATAGGTTTCTAGCTTAAGTTTGGCATTGGTCACATAAGAATCAGCATTCTTTCTGAACAGGCCTAAACAAATCTCTGTCAAATTGGTAGCAATAAAGGAAAAAGAAGTGCCTACATTTAAAATGGCATTCTAAGTTTTCATTTATTGTTTTTAAATAATGCACTTGCATCCTTCTTCTGCACAGGACCTGCAATGTCCCATCCAAACGAATTGTCAGTTGCATATCTGCTTAGCTTTACCAATGTTGTATTCCCAGGTATACTCTTTGCCATCTTCAAAATTCATTGCAAAGAAGCTTGCCATTCATTCATTCTTATAATATTTCTATATTATTCAATATTTGAACCTCTCTGGGTGGTTCACAATGGTTAAGACCATAAAGCACAATACAATCACATACAATATAAAATTTGTACTAAGAGTCAAACAAAGCTACCAAAAGACAGGTTCACTTCAGGAAAGGTGCTGAAGTGCTGCTTAAATTTAGACAGGAAAAGGCCTGCAACTTCCCATATGCCCTAGCCGTGCTTTTTTCCTATCTAACCTTACACAGGATTGTGCCTTAAATCTCCTAATTACATGGTCTGATTTGCTAGTTATAAGAATTATATATAATTACCTGACGGAGATATAACTTAAGGACATTACTTATATCATGTGCATAGAGTTCAGATAATTCCACCAAATCCTTTCCATTCTCAAATGCTTGACAAAGCTTTTCAACTCTTGATTTGGCTCCATTCACACGGTATATGCCCTTAAATATGAGAAACAGTCATAAGTAGTTGTAAAATTACATGGCAAATAATTTTAGTGATAGAGGTGTAGCAATATAATCTCATAAAGTCACAGCATCTTTACCTTTACATTCAGGGCCCTGCTTTCAATTTCAGATGTGCACTTTTTTATGATGAAGGGGATGCCATCAGGGGTATTTTTAGCAGCTTGATTGAACTCTACTCCAAATAGATGAAGTCTTCCATGAAGCTTTTTATGCCCGCACTGAATAGCTAAAGTCTCCAAGCATTTCTTGTGACATGCCAGCGAACACTAAAAGCAACATAAAAGAAATGAAGGGTGTTCAAAATAAGTTTCAAGAAAGAACATTTTTACTGTTTATATGATCAGATCACCTCATCCTAAAATAGAAACTTCAGAAAAGGCAGTCATTCAAAAATGGTGCGTCTAAAGAGGCTTTCAAACAAAGAAAGGATTGAAGTCTCCTTCATGACGGCAGCATTTTACCTCTCCACAATAGCCCATTTAACTTGGAAGTAAGGAGAAAGCCCAAGTTGTGCTCAGGCAGACTTAACCAGCCAAGATAGGCAAATGTTAAGCAGGCACAATGGGGACCATGCACTTTCCAATGTACTTATACATAAATCTATACAGATATTTAGGTTCCATTTCACATTTGATTATCATCCCCCCACTCCCAGTGCTTATTTCCATACAAGGAAAATATTACTTCTGTGATTCAGGTGGCAGTCCCCAAGGCTGCATCAAAAAAGTGGAGATTTCTAGTCATGATGAACCATATAAAATGGTCCCAGGGATTCATAGGAGTGAATCATGTGCAATTTTGCCACCTCTACTAACAAATGGAGATGGCAAAAATTGAGGAGAGCTATGTATTAGAACTCTAATTGTAAGGAAAATTCAGCACCAGCCTGTTTTGCACTTCATTTACCATACTCAAAGAGCACCCCACAGTAACAGAGGCTTCTAAATGACAGGGAAATGAGAACTAGACTAGTCATACTAGACTAGTTCTCATACGATGTAACTAGAGCAAATGAGCTTCCCACAAGACTTTATAAGAAAGCAATAAAATGCTTTTATTTCCTACCTCCTCACATTCTGCTCCATGGAATACCACCAGACTATCACATTCTCTGCATTTAGAAAGAGCCCTCAGCTTCCGCAGCTTGTGTGTCTGGGCTGCCTTAGAAAGAAGAGTGTTTCGAAAAGGTCCAGGTGAACTGGCAATTTCAGATGCTAGATCATTTAAACCTTGGAACATAAATATCTGCCATTAGCTCTTTAAAAATGTTATAACACAGAAGTTCTTTTTCATGCACTGAGATATGTGATTATTTGTTCCATAAAATAGCATCTGTGTGTCTCTGTTGTAGTAACACAACATAGATGGTTCACACAGGTTGCATCAAGTCAGTTTTTTTTGTTAATTAATATACAAATTACCTGTTCAAAAGGATTATCTCATAGCTGATTTCTACACTGAGAAAAACAACAGTGAAGAGTCTTGTGACTCCTTAATGGCTTATCAAGTTTATCATGATATAAGGTTTTATGTGGACTATAATTATCTGATGCAAAAACTGCTGTCCTGAGCTGGGTTATATAGATATAACATAGAAGCGTAACAGATATAGCATAGAAGCTTTCTAAATAAATAAATATATGGGACAAATCTGCACTGCATGCTAATGATTTACTCTGTAAATAACCAACAACAGGTTGGTTATTTGCACAATAATCCCTGGTGCACCCAACTGACAACTGAACTCAGTGGGGGTTGACCACGATTCCTTTCCCTTTATTCTTCTATGAGATTTTGTTTTGTGTCCATGCTATACTTCAATGTCTCTTTGAGAAGGAACTGTAAAATTCAGCCAATTAGTGGTGGTACTTCTTTTAGCTAATGCTTCTTTTAAACATGCTTTGGCAGTGCCCAATAGTTGCTTCTTTTGGGAAGGAGGCTATGCCACAGATAACTTTGTACTGAAACAGTCCTTAATGTTGACTGAAGTACATGTTGTATAAAATATCTACCTTCTTCATGGAAGTTAATAAATGAAAGGAAAAATTATTTTTTCTGCACTCTTTCAAAAGCTAAAAGGCTGGCATTATGAAATGGAAGGATAGATATACTTGTCTGTTATAATGCAATGGACTGAGGAATTTATAAAGTTTTCAGATTTTGAAAATATTATAGTCACAGACCAAAATTAATAGATAGACAAACTAAAACACAGTTAAAACAAGTACTCTAAAATGTTTTCACTCAAGCAGATGACTACATTTTTCCTAATCTGCATTGCAGTCATAAAATAATTGGTAACATTTCTACTAACATAAGAGGATACATCCCTTAAATAGACACCAGAGTGGAAGAATTATTCTTATAAAGATCTGTTATTAATGGTTTAATCAATTTCTCTCTGCATTCTCTATTAAAGCTGCAATATAGGAGAACATGTTCCACTGTTCTAATGCTTCAGAACTAGAAGAAAATAGCTGTTCATTGACTGTTCCTTTTAAAAGTGCTGATGGCAGCACATTAAAACAGGCAAGAGTAAATTCTCTTCTGTACTTGGGATACTCATTGTGTACAGATATGGGGCTGGAGTAAATCTACCATTATAGCAGTTATTGCAGTTAAGAGCAACTAATGAGGAACAAGTTTTATTAGCAGCAGTTCTCAAATGTTGGAAGATTCAGGTTTATTACTCTTTCTAGAAGAAACTGGACTTCTTCAGCTCATAATTGCCTAGCACTTGTGCAGAGAAACTTAGCCTTTGCAACTTCTTGTCTTTTTCTCTCATCCATCAGGTTACATACATATCTGAAAGCAGTAGAAACAGGTAGCTACCAGGAGCTGCCAGAACATGTAAATATAGCCACCATTTAAAGGTTTCAATCCATGCCTTGCACTCAACAGATCAAATCCCTACTTACAGATAGATGACTGCCTTCTGCACAGGGAGGAAGACCCAAGGGCTTCCTAACAAAAATAGACTGATCTTTTTTCCATTTGGGAATTAAATCCCAGAATCCAAATAGGGGTATCAGAAATAAGTTGGACCAAGGTCTTTACAGACATGCACTGCGGAGGAAATATGATGTCCACTTTGGGTAAAGAATAATCTTAAAAATCTGCTGCTGGCTAAAATTTGCTGATGCAATTACTTATATTTTCGGGAGATGATGCCCTACTTCAAACTGATACTTTTAGTATTTGGTCCCTTTTTGCTGAAGTCTCTAATTCTGCAAAAGTTGCATGCATTTCATACAAGTCCATATATGTATATTAACAAAAGTAAAAAGCCTAAATCTTTTTAAAAAGTGTAGGTGCTCACATGGACCCCACTCAGGCCCCCTGCACTAATGTTAGTATGATGAGAATCACCACAGTGGGATATGGGGCATGCATATCCCTTTCTAACTAATTTTCTTCCTGCTCAGCTGTGAAGAAGCTTGGAAGCATTCACTTGCATTATAATTCAACAAAGAAGCACCTGAAGTTTTCAAGGTGGGTCTTGCTTGAAGTGGACTGAAGCAAAGTGCCCTCCATTCTACCTAAACATACATCTGAAGTGAATTTCAAATCTTTTTGTTTCTGTACATGCTCAACAGTGCTAGTCCTTCACTGTATATATTCTGTATTGCAATTTTAAAAAACCATGAAGCCACAGGATGTGCATGAGTGCTCACACAAACATATTTACAAATGCATCTTGTAAGTCTCCACTCACAGAGAGGGGCTTGGTGGACATAAGACCTTAATCCTTAGCAAGCAAATGGAAAATTGGAGTCCTAGACGGGTTGTGGAATAATTGCTTCATTTAATAATTCTTTGGAATTGCTCACAATTTTGTACTTCTCCTTTTGGAAAAGTTAGTCTTAAGTCATGCATTTCTAACATTATTACAAAGTCCCACAAACATTATTCTGAAGAGGCTTTGAAGTCTTCTGCCAACACATCACCTAAGCCAGATGAGAAGCTGCTGCTTTCTAGCCTGATACCAAACAGGTGCTTAGCAGATGCATTAGAATTATAGTTGATCAGATAAGCCTCAGTTTTTCTACACTTAAAAGAGTTCCAGCCTCTAACATAATTTATCCTTTCAGCTTAATGTAGCTGATTTTTTTTGCTCTAACAATGCAAATTTCCTGTTACCCTTTCTGCCCACTTGTCTCATCTAAACAAAATTCGAGAGGGGCAATCAAATTGGATTAGCACTGAAAAGAATATTTATGATAAATAATGAATTCAGGTTAGAACTTTAAGGTAATTACCACAGTCTGAAGGTGAGGGTGGTTCTCTCTCATCAAGATCATCTGCAGATGACATGGTACCAGTAGAGGGTGTTCGGGGCAGCCGTCTTTTAAAATCACCTACCAAAGAGACAAAACATTTCACATTTTTTAAGAAATCCAGTTTTTGAATACAAGCATCATCCAAACTTTAGATAGTGATTTTAAGTACTGAAGCGTAAGATTCTTCATACCTGGGCTTGCAGATGGAGAGTCTACCGATCGTGATTCACTGCTTCCTCCTACACTTTCAGAGTCACTGCACATTCCTCCACTTTGATTACCAACTGACCAGGATCTGAATGGTGGTGGCCCTCGCACAGCTTTAGAGGGAAAAAAGGGTTGTGGGTTTAATGAATTCAGGATTTTCTCAGATGCAGAGCAGCTTCCATCCAAACCACCTGAAACTTAGGTAGTTTTAACCACCAAAGAGGTTTATTAGATAATGTAGAGGAATACAAATTTTATGCCCACTCTGACTTTTTGTGAGCCACTCTTTTCAGAAAGCTCCTTTGGTGGACAGATAATACTTTGGCATGTCCAATAAACCTTTGGACAAATGGAATCATATTCAATGCAGCTATATGGCAAATTGAATAACCAAGAGGTTCATAGCAAAGCAAGAGTAGCAAATCATTTTGAAACGCAGTTATGGATATTTTGGCTCACACGAATTCCACTGTTTGTTTTTCACAGTACAGCAGTTCTCTTATGGCACAGCAGTGTGCACAGTCACAGAGTTTGGGAATCACTAAATTGGCCTAAAGATATTACAGCACACATATTTAAAAAGTCATAAAAAACTGGAAGTTTGGCAACCTAAGAGCATAAGAACCCTGCTGGATCACACTGAATGTTTATTAAATCCAGCATCCAGCTTCACACAGTGACCAACAAGCTATTTCCAGTAATTCTACAAAGAGAGCTTGATATTTGATATTCTTCTCCAGCAGTGGTAATCTAAGGCAAATTGTCTCTGAACTGAAGGCTCCAAATATATCCAATATGTCTGATAGCCAGCAACAGACCTACCCTCCATTAAAGAACCCAAGTGGTATAATAAAATACTATATCTAAACCTGTAATATTAGAATGTAAACCTTTAAAAATTTCCTAAATTTGCTGCTTGACTTTTGCCTCATTTGTTAACACTGAATAAAGACTAATCATACTTGTATTCGGCTTGCAGTTGTAGTTTTTGTTAAAACTGAAAAGCATGTAAAGCAACAATCTAAAATGAAATTATAAACTTTTATTGAGTATATGATGTATCTGAGTATTGGCAACAGGTTACTACAGCAACCCATTAAAATGACTACTTAATCTTGCAGATTTAAATTCAAGGTTTCTTACCTGAGATATCTGTGCTGCTTGAAGACCGTTTTTCTCCAATCTTTTGAGAGCGTTGGCAGGATGGACTTACAATATCTTCTAGGGATGGAGTAGGAAATTCTCCTGAACACTGAGATAAGTTTCCTTGTGATGTATGGATATTGTTTGATCGTTTATTAACCCTGGCAATTGAAAATAGCAATCTTTTGGAAAATGAATGTATTCAATTAAAAAATAAAGTATGACTTGCATTTCCCATGAAGACATGACAACTATAAATATAAATACACTTATTAGTTAGCTACACTCAGTTCTGTGACTTATATCTATTTTTGTTTATAATCCTGCATTTTATTTTATATTAATATTGTTAGACACCTAAGCATGGAAAGGTGGAACAGAAATTTAATAAATAAGTTAAACACACTTTGCAGATCAAATTATTTAAATATAATAAAACCTAGATGCCATTGTTGAATTATGGTACAATAATTCTGTGACAGTCTTAAGTGCTCTGCCATTTTATCAAAGACATGGTTATGTTGCAATTAACTCCAGAGTGTTTATACTGCCTTATTTACTTTTGGTTCCCCGTGTAGTTTTATATCATCACTGGAAGGCACAGCATGCTCATTTGTGCTCGCCTAACTTGTTTTTACTGTATCTATTCACTCGGTTAATAAATATGAGAAGAGTACGGCTACAAAACAGTCAGTATTTCATGGCTCCTGCCCCTACTTGATTATGAAAATAAATTTTATGTTGAGATATATTAAGGAGTTGTACTCTCACTGCCAAAACTGTAATTTGAAGGAACAGGATGTATCAACACATGGTAATACCTCATCCAATTTTGGAAATTTGGTGGACAGGAATGAATGGTTAAACAATAATTCAGTCATATTCTTCATTATAAGCTACTTCAAATTTCCTCTCATTCTAGAGGAGTCTTATAAAATCTGAAAGCCTGCATCCTCCTTTCTCAAGGAAGGATGAACTTCTGTTTTCATCATGTACTATATATACCAGTGATCTCAATTCTTCAAGTGCTAGCAAAACAGCCCAATGAGAACTCAGTGCACTTGCTGGACACAGACTGCTGATTAATGAATAATGAACGGAGCTGGAAAATTTGGAGGGGAGGAGTATGAATTGCTATTACTTGACCTTAAGAATTTCACTGCAATATTTTGCTACAATTGCCACTTGTGCCAAATTATAATGCTAGATAAGTGCTAATGGACAGAAAATGATTTGGAAAAACTCCACACTATCTACCTACTTCTTCCAAATGATTAGCCAGTCTTAAGGCATAATGTTGGGATATTTAGAGAAAAAGAGGTTAATAACCAGGTATTACTCTTTTGTAACCTTTTACCTGAAGAGGTCCATGTCAAGTCTCTTCCTCATAAGAACTATAACAGAGAAGCAATTGCACTACCAAAAGCATCATTAATGCCTATCGATATGCTTCTGTCAGGAATGAAGGCAAACAGGAGAACAATCATCTTCACCTGAATGGGCCCTGGGCAAAAGACACCTGCCTAAACAAATGGGACTTACAACAAAATGTTCTGGGTCTTGCAATTCCCCAAAACAAGTGCTCCTGTGCAGAGTTCCAGCCAGGATCTCATAAACTTTAGGGGATTCAAAGAGGCCACTGCAAGCACCCATCTCAATTTTCCATTTTTTCCCTGAAGCTGGCACTCAGGGTCTTACAAATACTGGCCATGCACATTCCTCACTGAGTTTTTTGTTTCTGTAGAACATCTTGATACTTTTGTATTCCTTGGAATACTCATTGATACCTCACCTTTGTTTCAGTGACTCTGGTTTAGCACCAATCATGTCATTCACTTCAAGTTCCCTATCTGAGACAGTGGATTTAATTCATTTTAGATTTTGTGCTGTTAGCATGTTGAAGATTTTGACAGTGGCTGTCTCTGCTCCTAAAAAGGCCATCTAGCAGTTACTAGCTTACATCTCTATCTGCCACAGAAATGCTTCTAGTGGTGATTGACTAAACAGGCCTAAACAGGGGGAGGCAGAAGATCTTAGGAAAAAAGCAGAAAAATAAACAAAGACCTAGGAAAACGAGAGGGGCTTCTTCAGAAGAAAGAGACAGGCATTTGAGGAAGGGAGGAAAAAGCTAGAAGAATGGCCAGACAAGATAAATTCATCTGATCAGGAGCAGCAGGTAAAAAGAAGACTTGAGTGTATATATCGCCTGTATTCATAGAACCTAATGTATCACTATAATTATTTCTATGCATAAGACAAAGAATGTTCATGGAAAAGTACAGCACTTCAGCTACTGCTTGAATATCTAACTTGAATAATAACTGAAATAATGTGTTTATATTTTTACTAAAATTCGTAACTTGGCTCTTTATATGCAAGCTCACCTGTCTTTATGTCCCATTTCCATTCATTATCTCACTATTTACTGGGCATCCCACCAATACTTCAGCAATATCTAACTTATTAACACGCCAAGTTCTTTTTCTTTTGTTTTCTACTTTCTACATTCCACTGGCATTTTGTTCATATTTACTGTCAAATAAGCAAAGATTGTATCTGAGTTCTCACCCTCCAATCTGGGAGCTCTGCATTTCAAAGGAACCAGATTCAATGGGAACATCATCTTTTGGCAAAGTCTTCACAAATTCAGAGAACTTCTGGCCTGGATCATACAGCTTGGCACTCTCACAGAGGGACTGACAGTTAACTGGTAGTGATACAACCTGGGCATGTTGCATCTGGAACAGGTTAACTGTTGCCTGTATGAAAGAAAGTTAAGATATTCCAAGAATATTTTAAGCTTTAGATAATTCTCCTTGCATCTCTAAACACTTAAAAATCCTTCACAACTCATCTAAACAGGAATTCAAAATCAAACCAAACTGCATGTTTTTAATCACATTTACAGCTACTGTCAGTCATAAATTGCTCAAATTTTGTTAAATGATGTGTACACCTATGTAAACACATTTATCAGTAATGATTTGGGAAAGCATATCGATGAAATACGTATTATCTTTATGGTAGTCTATTTTGTGGGAACGGTGGGTAGGGAAGGAGGAGTTGTGAATTCTGATTGTCATTTGTGGTATTAGTTAAGATTCAAAGGAACATGGAATTATGTTCACATGAATCATTCTAGTTCCCTCTTTATTGCTCCCTTTATACCCCACAAAACACACATTTAAGGGTTGGAAGACTGAGGTGTGGGTGGTGACACAGTGAGCTGTAATGAGAGGAGCAATTGGTAGAAATTGGTGTATGGGCCCATTGCTTAAGCTGAAACAACTTCCACTCAGAGAATAGCAGGTTTGGATACAAGTAAATATTCTATAAAAACATATGTTAAGCAGTTGGACTAAAACAGCAGATGCAGAAATGCTGTAGAAACTAGATCTTATACTTTAGAAATTGTGAATTGCCAATATTTGAAGTGAGTATGCAGCAGCTTGATATATTTATAATAAGCTGGAATGACCTTTACTACTGAAACATTTCAATGCTCCGACTTTTTAAATATAGAAAAGTTATGGATCAGCTTCCATTCAATGTGCGGTTAAGTTGCCCATACATAATATTTATTTATTTATTTGGGATATTTAGTGGGTTAGAATGGAAGCTGATCCATAACTTTTCTATATTTAAAAAGTTGAAGCATTGAAATATTTCAGTAGTAAAGGTCATTCCAAATAAATTCAATAAATACAACAGTATAAAAGATCTCAAGTACCCCAAACAATAATAAGACTAACAGCCATGACTTAATTAAAACATAATTAAAATCTTTTAAACATTAAAATACTAGGTGAATTAAAAAAATACTCAGGGGCTAAAGAACAGTAATGCATTTGGGCAGATTCTGCAACTGATTCAGCATGGCATTTGCACTCTTCTACATGCTTATTTCCAAGGGTAGCAGTATTTTTTCCCAAACAAGAGGCAAGATGCTCTCTAGGATGGAACACTTTTCTATTTTCAAGGGCTGCAGAACAAGTCAATGTAAACTTCTTTGTCCATTACTGCATCTGTGTTTACTGAGATGTAAATTTCACCTTCAATATGTGAAGGTTCAACATATATCTCCAAACGTAACATGGAACATGGTAACATTTCTTGTCCAAAGCAAATAGCTCGCAACTAAATAAAATAGATCCATCTAAGGCTATCCTCATAACTAGCAATTCATACTCTAAATCAGTATAACCACTCTGAACTTTTTGCCTTCAATGTGGACAAAAGACGGATACTGTCTGTCATGAACAGCTTGCTGTTCCTCCGTAATTGAAAGAGCAAGTTGCTTCCCTCTATCACTCTTCAAGTGGTCATCTGTGCATTCACATGGCTCCAAGTCTGCATGGGGTCTGTTGTTGGGAAAACTCTGCAGCTAACCATTTATCTGGGCAGGAGCCCACTACGTCCTGTTCCACGTATATATGGGAGCAGCTCTTGCCCATTCCTTCCAATGTTTCAGCCACCAAGGGGTGCCAAGGATGCAGTCAATCTTATCTTTCCTGATCTTTGTGAGCACCCTTGTAATTAGGCAGAAGAGGCAAAATATTGTTCCCAACAATTTGAAGAGAAATACATCTCCCAGGGAGCCAGTCTCCTGCCCTGCCTGGGAAAAGCGGTTCTGGCACGCTGCGTTGTTCGCTGTGGCAAATACTGTGGGTGTTTCTCATACGTCAAAGATTTCATATAGAGCATTGGCACTTAGCTGGCACTTGTGTTCATGGAGGGCATGCAACTGAGGGTACCTGCAATGCAGATAGTCATGAGGGTGATACCTTTGGCTGTTGCACTAGTTCCAGATTCTGATGGCCAGTCAGTGTGATAGACCATGTGGTACCCTCTTTGTTGAGGTGGAATACCTCAGTGGTGTTGTCCATAGCTATCCAGGTAAGATGCCTGTGTAGGGATGTCTGAAAGTAGTCAGGACTTTGTGGATGGCTATCATCTCTAAGAAACTGATTTACTTCTGAGTTTCTTGCTGGCTCTGGGTTCCCAGTTCACCACAATATGTTCCCCATCCCAACAAGGAGGCACTGGTGGCAATGGTGATCAACAGTTCTGGGGGTGTGAAGTTGATGTCTGCTGCTAGGTGGCACCAGCACATGTTCTTCCTGATGGATGGAAGGATAACTAGGTGGGTCCTGCAATGTGTGGAAAGAGTGGATAAACCATAATTGTATGGGCTGTATTGTTTGCCTTGAGAAGGGACCACTGCCACTGTTGCAGCCATTAGTGTGAGCAATATTTGTATTTGCTGGGCCATGGTGGTTAGTTGAGTGCCAGGATTGGCAGCCATCTTGATTAAGGTGGATGCTCTGGATGACAGCAGGCAAACTTTTGCTGAAAGTGGGTTGAGGCAGGCCCTAATGAAGAGGATGGAGAGGGGGGGAAGATAATTGTTTTTTCAAAATTTGTATGGGGTCTCCAGGAGAGTGCAGGTTGCAGGCTGGAGTAGAGCAGGTCTATCTTAGGCAGAGATATTAGGTATTAGAGATATTAGATACAGATATCACTGAGGTAAATAGAAGACTTGCGCTCTTTCGAGATGTGTGAGCAAAGCACCGCCATGCATTTAGGGAAGACCCTGGGGGCAGCTGACAGGCCAAAGGAGAGTATGGAGTATTTGAATGGAATTGGAATCTCATCTCCAATCTGGAAGTACAGGAAGTGTCTATAACTGTGACCTATTGTGATGTGGAAGTAAGCATCTTTCAGGTTGACTGAGGCAAATCAGTCTCCTCCAATGCAATGAATTGATGCCTCTGAGGGTCTAGAATCAGTCTAAGCCTTCTGTCCCACTTCAGTACTTTGAAGAGCAGAAATCTTGGAGGAGATCTGACTGGGGAACCTTCTCAATGACTTCTATTAGTATCTGGGACACCGAGTACTGGGAGGGTGTCGAACTCAATGTTCTGCAGAAAGGACCTTCCATGACTGCTGGATTTTTGCAGCAGTGTGGATCAGACTGGTATCACCGCCAATGCTGAGTCTTCTGTATGGATGACATCAAAGAAGGGGTTCATGACTCTATTCAATAGTTGTTCAAGTTTGAAGGAGTCTGCTATCCTAGGGATCTGTTTGAAGAACTTGCCCATCTTCTTGGGTGGCAACAGCAACATCTGCTGAGAAAGCAGAGGAGCGAACGATACTAAGGATTCTGAGTCAGAGACATAGTTCTCAGAGTCTGATGGAAGTGATGGTGGTCTTGGTCTCGAGGCTCCTGTGACTGGTGGTATTGTGGATTGCATCCATGAGCATCTGGTTGGTATCAGGTCCCCATGCAGGTGATGTTGAGGAGAACACTGTGGTGGGGAGGCAAAGTGGGGGCCTGTGCCTTAATATTGAGTGAGGCTGGTGAGCAACCAGAGGTACACTCCCATTCCAGCAGTGGGGTGTGGGATCTGTCTTGATGCCTTTGCAGGTCTTATGGTGGCAGTGTTAGTCTCAGGGAGGCATGCATGGATCAGTGCAATATTGATGCCTCAGACAGAAATTGGGTTGGGGACCAGTGTCCCTTCTCTTCAGAGACTCATGTTGCCAGGACCAGGTCTTGTGTCAGTACCATCAGTTCCGGCTCCTCTGGGATCATGTTTGGCAGGGGCTAGAATGGCACCTTTGTTATGCTTTGGTAGCAGTCTCCATCTTTTTCACTCATTGGACGATCTTCCTGGCTGCACAGTCCTCCAGAGATTGGTTAGGTGTTGGCATGGTGGACTCTGTTGGTACTTTTGCTGCAGCTGAGGAGAGGCTAAGTCACATTGCATGAGCTGAGGCTAGCTGCTTGCACTCCATTTGTTGGTGCACTGCAGAGTCCCATTCCAGTGTTTGGCCCTGAGGCGGTCTGCTCTGTTTCTCCAGACTTCCTTAGAGAAGGCCTGGCAATGTGGGCAAGTGTTAACTCTATGTCTCTTACCCAAGCAACAGAGGCAAAGGGAGTGTCTGTCCATTGGGGGAGCTTATTCCTACAGTGAACACACTTTCTAAAATGTACCTTTAAAGATAGGAAGAAGGAATGAGATTTGGGTTTTCAGAGAAGGTGCAAATATTTTTTTTAAAAAATAGGGTAAAATTTTATATGAGGATAGAGAAAAAAGAAAGCTAAGATTCTCAGGTATGGAGAGAGAAAAGTGCTTCCTGCTCTAAGCACAATGAGAAGGATCAGAGTGAATGGCTGGGAGCCCCTTCCATGTATACATTGAATAGGAAGGCGAGGGGCTCCTGCCCAAATAAATGCTTCTCTATGGAATCTTCTCAACAATAGATTCCATGTGGGAGCAGAGCTCCTATCTGTGATGTACTGAGCCCACTGAGAAGAACATGCAATTCTTTTTACATAAAGGTTTATTGACTAGACAGTGCAGATTACTTTTGGTATACATATTTGCATTATAATGTCATTAACTGAGTTGTTTTTATGGACATTGGGGCTAAACAGAGAAACTCCTCAGGTTTCCCATTGAACAAGCTGCTGCAGCCTCCAGACTTTTGCACTCTTCTATTCCCTCATCTTTCACATATGAGGAAGAGATAGGAAGTTCTACTTCTAATTTTAAACTTAACATAGTCATGGCTGGTTTAAATTTAGGTTTGATCTCAAATGATGGTTTGAATTTGACTTGTTCAACCTTCAACCCCCCCCCCCCCCCACACACACACACAGTTCCATGCACAGGTATAACAGGGAACTTGGGGTTAAAGTCACAAGCAAAAACAATCCAACAGGTACTATTTACACAGTTCTCCAAACCTGCAAAGGATGAACAAGGAATTTCTGTTCGGTCTCCCCTTCCTTGCACAGTTTCCCTTTAACTCTCCTCTAGCAGAACCATATCTTTAAAGGCTTTGTCATATCAAGGGGTTGTCATCCAAATCAGAAACTCAAAGCCTGTTTTGAAGAAACTTTCTAATCTTTATTTGGAGAGCAAAATCTAATCTCAATAGGCCAATTCAAATGTCACGACATGCTATGGTTAGTGCTAGAAGGAATTAAGTAAGAAAAGAGGGAGTGCAGAAGTCTATAGCTTTTTATGATCCACTATGCCGGGGTAGCTAAACCGAAGCTTGCAAGCTTCATGATGCTCTGACTTTATTTTGTGGCTTGCCACTTGGTTGCTACCTCTGCCTATGGTTACTGGCTTGCAGCTCACATATAGCTGGCATGTAACATAAGGGGCTCTTTAGTTGAGCAGGTCTGGCCACTCCTGCACTAAACTATGGTTTGAAAGTTTATCTGACCGAATCAATGGGTTGCATCCAGGGTTAGCTCTACTTAAAGCAGACCTACTGAAATGGGATAAATTATGCTAAATTAAGATTGGATACAACCAACTATGATAGCCCTATTCAATCTACTTTGGCAGTTACTGGTTTTGGCAGTTACTGTATCAAGTAGTCATCACAACTGTATGGTAATCCAACCTTAACAGTTATTAAAGAGTAGCTTTCTGTTAGCCTAGAACAGATTAAAGCACACATTCTTACAGCTTTAAGTGTGAGATCACACTGATAAACAAGTTCCCGCAGCTGTGTTAGGATATCACTTTTGAAATTTTCTAGATCATTTCGCTTTTCTTCAACATCAGCCATGCTGGCTTTGAAATGTTCATTGGCTTCTTCAGCCTGCAAAAATAAAACATTAGAAAATAAGTGGTAGAGGAAACATTTTCTATTAAAAAGAGCCTCTCTTTAGAAGAACTCACAGCGTTAAGTAGCCCTTACTAAAAAGGACTTCCTAAAGCATATGACTAAGGTAATGAAGACAAGTCAAAATGTCCTAGACAACAAATCTCTGTGAGAACTAGGGTAAGATTTTCTCTGTTTGCTGATATATCTAAAAGCAGTACTCTTACTTTTTGCAGAGCCTCCTCTTCCAGTTTTCGTTTCTTCTCTAGTTTGCTAACATCTTTATTAATACTCCCATTAGAAGTCAGATGGTCCTCCTCAGCACGAACAGTTGATGATTTTGCTTTTTCATATTCATCTTGCCGTTGAATATATAATATCTTTGCCTTTTTAGCAGTTGATTCCAGTTCTTGCTGTTCATTCCAAAAGTAAATATCTTTATTTTAACATGTCCATATTGTAATACAATACATTAATATAGGTTATTACCTATAAAGCCCTAAACAGCTGGGAACCAGGATACCTAAAGGAACACCTTTTTTCCTATTTGCCCTCCCGTCTCCTGAGATCGGCAACAGAAGCCCTCCTCCGGGAACCATCTGTGAAAGATGTTAGGAGACAGAGTACCTGGAGGAGGGACTTCTCTGTGGTGGCGCCCCAACTATGGATGCACTCCCCCCAGAGAGGTCCGCCTGGCGCCATCGTTATATGTTTTTCGGTGCCAGGTTAAGACCTTTTTATTTAATCAATATTTTAATAAGTTTTAATATTGAATTTTATTATTGTATTTTATTAATTGCAGCCAGAGTGGGTCATCAATTTATTTATGCTGTTAGCCGTCCAGAGATGTTAGTAATTTGATGCCATACAAATTCTATAAATAAATAAATAAGCAAGCAAGAATATTGTCATATTTTCAGTTTCAACCTCATCTTGTAACTGATATTAATGATGTATTGCAGGAGTTCCCAGTGAAGCACCTGTAGGGATCATAACACCCACAGTGATCTCCAACAGCATTCATGAAGCTCTCCATTCCTTGCCCACCTCAAAAATCTATTTTTATTACAACCCTGGAAAAACATTAGGGGACCCAATTCTTCTTTGTGTTCTTACATCTGCTGCAGACAGTTGCCAGTAGGCAGACAGAAGGAAAGACTTCTCTGGATCTGCCTAATTTTCTTCTGTCTGTGCAAACCTTTTCCCTTTTTCTCTCTCCCCACTGACTCTAACTTTATTATTTCTCTCCCCCAACTTCACTATTTATCTCACTTCCCTGCCGGCAGCCTTCTGTTTTGCTTCTTTCCTAGCCTTTAGCCATGCTCTTTTTCTCCCTTCTACCCATCTTAATTTCTATTTTTCACTCTTCCATCTCTTCAGTTCACCACCCACTAGCCAGGACAAAAATGCAGCCATTCTGGAACAAGTCACAACTGCTGTGGAAGCCATGTTGTGCTGGCACCTTAAAAAGTTTCTCAAATTCCCAAAAGTTTATCCAGGACCCCGGAGTATGCGAAGGGTAACGAAATGACTACTATGCCATGAAGGGAAAAGGGAATAGGTACAGTTTTGTTATAAACATGTGAATTTTTCCAATAAATTAGTTAACTAAAAATTACTAGTGCATTCAGCAAGCTCATTAGAAATGCTTCATAGGCAAGTTTATCAGGCTGCTTAGAATTCTTGATCACTAGACAACACACATAATATGCACCAACCATTTTCTTTTGTTCTCGTTGCCAAAGATCCTTTATCTCCTTCCTTTGTTTATCCAATTCACTTTTTCTTCCAAGGAGTGGCTAAATAAGAGAAATCCAGTCATTGTGAAACAAAATGTAAATGTTTAAAATTTATCCGTCTACAACCTGTGTGTCTAAAAATGTTTCTATATTTTTGGTTTACCTGAACAAATTTATTACTTTGGAGAGCTGCTGCTGTTTGTTGCCACAGATGACTGCTCTCTATGTCATTCTGGAATGCATTTACGAATATTGACTGGAATGGCATGTAATCCTACAATGCAAGCAAGACATGTAAACTAGTAAGTTGCCACATGATTACAATATTCAACTTATCAAAATCTTACCCCCCACTGATTTAAGTGAAGTAGTACGTTAAAATATATACATGTCAAATTAAGTTGTAATGCTACTTAACACCTTTAACTAACCTTCCTTCTATTAATAATACAGGCTTAGGCAGAATAGTACTTGATAATGCAACACAATTATATAACATAACACTATTTACTATTTCTAAGAAGGCTGCTGATAGTTTGTTACTTTCTTGTATTGAAATATTACCCTGAATCAAAGCAGTTTTCAGAGAATTTAATCTAGTTCTAACTTAATCTAATTCAAAATAATAAGAAAACAGCAGAAACACTTTAGCATTAACAAGCATTAGAGTTTAGCATTAATAAAAATAGTTGCTTCCTTCATGTTAATGATTTTCGTGCATTTCCATTATTTGAACACTCACCTGGGATCCAACAACAGCCTTAGTTGTTTCTGCTATTTTTGCCAGGCTTTTAGCACACTCCATTTCTATAAGAAAAGACCAGTTTTACACAGTAAGTGAAGTAAGTGAGAGTGTTAAAACAAAATAGAAACTTCTCTGTAATCTTCATTTACTAAGGCAAATACTATTTTGCTACAATCTTTCAGTCACAGGAAATAGGCAATAGTTCCATTCATTTCAGTGAACAGCTCCTAATTTAGAAATCACATTACTGACAGTCTGTAGCACAATCCTGACAAGAGATTTAATTCCATCATGACAAAGCTCATTAGGTGCCAGAAAGAACCACTCACCCAAGTTAAGCTTTTTTTCTACCCATGCAACTATGTCCTTCGTATATTTTGACCATGCTTTAGCGTAGGATAGAGCCAATTCAATGCCATTATCATTTCTTAGGAGAACACTATCAATTTCTTCAGCTCTGAGATGCCCTGAAAATAAAGTGTCAAATGCAAAAAAGTGAATTTTAGACATGACCACACAGCAACAGCAAAGCCAGCCAACTGTGAAGACTAAAGTAGCTCTGATCTTGAGATTCTCTTTAATGCTGGATGATGTTAAACAGAAGTGACAGGGCTTTTCGAACAAATTAAAGGTCCATAGAAATTAAAGGTCCAAATGATTTTGCCTTCATAAAACTTTCTACTATTAATGACCTAACAAGAAGCAAAATCTGTTTGAATAGCTGAAGTTCATTCTATACTATACAGAAATTTTGGGATTTCAGTTGGATTTATTTCACCCTTTAACTACTTTGAAATATCAATGATTTTTCCTTCAATATATTATGATTAGCTCAAGCATGATATTTGTAGTAATTTAACATTTTATTACATTTTGATCTCTATAAACCTTAAACAGTAACAAGACTCAGAATGCTTACCTGTTCCTTGTTCGTCCTTTTCATGCAGTGATCCCCCAGAATCCACAGAAAGGTTTTCAAAAGACTAGTATGAAATAAATTACCACTGTTAGCATCAACTAAACAAACATATAAAGACTTAAGATATGCTACACGGTTCCCCCCCCACCCCTGTCCCCCATACTTAAATCAGTCATTCTGACACAACAAGAGAATGGAGCAGAATGCACTCCTGCCTTAAAACTTCAATCCCTTTTTAAATCTACAATGGCTGAAGAGGCCAAGATAATTTAGATAACAGAGAAACCTTTACATGTGTCAAACATTTTCAAACAGCCTTTTAAAGCTTTGATGGGACTGGTTACTTAACAAAAAGAAGCAACTTTTTCCCAATGAAAAAAATGGTTAATTTATGAATGGACTTTACGCATAGCCAAAGCATGACCCCAAATACACTTTAGACTTTGCTCAATAACCCAAAAAGTGGCTCTTCAATGCCAAAAGCATAATATCAGGCTTGTGCAAAGTGGTATTCTGGCCATTTGTCTCTGTTACTGAGAAAAAAGTGGAAGTGTTCATTACAGTGCAACAGAGTAACATAGAGCTTAATACCCTCCTAAAACTCAGCAGTAAATGTACAAAACTAGACAACTTTCACAAACTTGTGATTCACTGGCACTTGTGCAAAAAAAAAAAAAAAAAAAAATAAAAAAAAAAAAAAAAAATACAAAAAATTTTGATTCACAGGCAATTGTGAAAAAAAAAAAAAAAAAAAAATCTACAGAGCAATCAACAACAGGAATAATTATACATTTTAATGTATTAGATTTGCCCTGGAAATAATATGTTCTTGTCAAATATAATAGAAGTCAAACTTGAAGGAAAGTTATGTAAATTTGCATGAAATATGAATGCACTTTTATTATTTCACTGGAAACAAAGTCTAATTATTGCATAGTGCCCTAATCATCTTAACTTACAGTACAAAATGGATGTTGAATTAATCCTCTAATCAATCAAAGAAGTTCTCAATGTAACAGTAGGTGAAAAGATTAGCTTCTCCCCTACAAGTACAGTAGAAACCTGCTTTGGCTAGAGAAAGGTAGTATTTTTAGAGACCTGAAGGTGACAATGCAGAGACATTGTTGCTTGTAGTGTGTACATTCAACATATTATTGGCTCTTTTTGGATGGAGCAACAATATTCAGAGGCAAATCATGGATTAATAAACCCATGAATTGTGGGGATGTGTGCCTTGTCCAAGCAATGTGTGAACCACTTCCTGTTTGCATAAAAGGACAGGAATCTCTGTGGAAGACAATGCTAGGAAATTTTGAAGACAGAAGAGAAATATGAAATGGTTTGACTCCATAAAGGAAGCCACAGTCTTGAATTTTCAAGAACTGAGTAGGGCTGTCAAGGACAGGGCATTTGGGTGGGGCATTACCGTAAGTTGGAGATGACTTGGTAACATAACAAACAAGGAAAAGTACAGTAGTTTGGCCCTTACAAACATTTACATCATTGTTGGTTGTATAAACCCATTTCTCAACTGACCCTGCTGAATATTCAGAAAAGCAATGTTACCTGCTTAACAATATCACTAAAAACAAATGTATTTAACATTTTCAAAAGTATATTACTCAGACCTGACTTTGCCGAGATACAGGAAGACCCAGTGTTGAGCTATTGTCCACATCTCCCATAAGGAAGTCTGAAACGCTGCAATGAGAACCAGAAGAAAGTAAGTTATGCTCTGGCTTCTTCTACAAGAACAGCTATATCAAACATTCAAATAAAAAAACCATATGGGAATGATTCATATTTAGTCTAGTTTAAGAAAATCTAAGTTTGTAAAAGGTCACTAGGTGACTTTAGACCAGTCACTCACTCTCAACCTAACCTATTTCACAGGGTTGTTGTGAGGATAAAATGGAGCTATGTAAGTCACACTGTGGGTTCCTTGTGAGAGGAAGAAAGCTCCGAGATAAAAGTAATGCAAGAAGCAGCTGCAGAGGATAGGTTTTGTATCTATTCTTAATTGCTGAACCAAACCTAGTTAAAAATGTGTTTGTGGGGGGGGGGGTGCCCCACAATTCCCCATCCAATGGTTAGCCTATTAAAAATGGAGAGGGTACCTTCACAATTATTAGAGAAAAATAGGCAAAGCTCTGATATTATTACAAGGAAGAACTAATAAAAATGACTGAGGAGAAGCAGTTGCAAGAAGCAACTAGGAGTACACTGAATGAAACCTTTACAGATGCCCTTTTCAGTATCATAAAATTATCAACTATAATAAGTGGCTCAAAATGTGACTGGCAGGCGAGGACAACCAAGGAGCAGTAAGAATGGAATATGGGAGAGTCAAGTTTCAGCAGTGGCTCAGGTAGGGTTCTGTAGGAAAGAAATTACACTATTAAACCTTTTAAACTTACATGTTGCCAAAGGTGAATGCCAATGTATCAATAGAAGAGAATATTTCACTTAATACTTCTCGCTTATTTTCTTCATTTACTTCTTTGAAGTTCACAGCTAAGAAAGAAAACAAAGACTCCTGTACATTTATCAGACTAAACTTTCACATGCCATGAAACTGCTCCCAAAGCAGACAATAGGTCTATTTATAATACCTATTAAAATAATAAATAAGAGTTAGTAATTATCCAATTGGTGGCTTGAGAATCTCGAGTAGCTAATTGTCTAGAACATCTTTAAATCAGACAGCAATTCCTAGGAATTTTTTTCAACATGGTATGCCAGGAAGCTCTGTCTCAGTATTTCTGGACCTTGCTACCTAAACTTTTAGACTGCACTGACACAACATGAGTTTTCCTCTGGGAGTAGTAACATATCAGTATGAACCTATATGAAAATACTAAATACTAAAACAGGTTTTAGCACTTATGAAACTCTTTAAATTACTCAGCATAACTGAGTTGCTCTGTAAGCAAGGCAAACAAAATAGATTCCTTTATCCAAAAAAGATTTATCAATGGTAACACTTTCCAGACACAAAATTATAAACAGTATGAAAGAATAAGAACCAAAATCCTCTTCCAAAGTGGCAAAATACTGGCTCATGGACCTCTCTAGGTGTTTTTGGCCAAAATTTAAGACATATACAGGAAAGCTAGCCACAAATTTGTCATCTCTTCTATAGTTAGTATTTGTTAAAATGTTGCCACTAAGAAAGAAAAGTACATATGAAAAACTTATGTTAACATTTATATAAACTGTCTATTTTAGCATTTCTCAAAGATCTTTTTAGTAAATTATTCAACAGAAAGGTAGGCTATGATAAAGTTCATGTTTTACATAAACTAAGGTTTTTTTCATAACTGGATTTAAATTTTAACTGCTCATAATTTACAATGTGATTTTGATATGTGTATGCTATCACAGTTGTATTATCATAACTTACATTAGGAACTAGAACAGGACATAGCAACCAATCTTCAGGCCTACAGAGGGTGGAGAGTGAGCTCAATTTCTACTTTTCCTTCTAACCTCACCAGATTCAAGGCTGAGAAAGCATCTCTGATACCATCTCTGTCAGATCAATAGGCTGCGTCAGCCTTAGTGCTATGATGCAATGTAAGTATGTCTATTTAAATTCTAGTAATAGTCTACATTTGTATCTACACATATAAATTAGCACATGCAAATACATGCAGACCTGTATCTTCTTCTGTCCTGGTTTTAGGTGATATATAACAGCCAAATTCTATGCCTCTTCTCTGCCTTGAATAGTTTTGAAAAATGTCCTTAGAGATTTTGGAAACTGGCTGGCCAAAGTGGTTCTAGTCTCCACAATTTCTAAGTGATCTCTCCTTCACCAATTTCTATTCAAAAACGTCCCTTCTTCCAAAAATGGACCCTCCGTATTTCAGATATCTGATTTAAAATAATCTTTGCAACCTTTCCGTAACTTCTTATCAAAGTGAGCCACTAACATTCAACAGTAATTCAACACCAAACTGTCAATACAATATTTAAATACATATTGTTTAATGTAATCAGAGATTTGATAGCATTTGAAATCTGCCACTTAATTAGAAATAAATGCATTTAAAACGATATCATATTAAGTATGTAAAAAGAACCTCCTGCCAGTTGTTTAAACACAAATAGATAAAGAAAGCAATGTATATAGTAAACCGGATATTCCAGCAGATTTCCTTTATGAAAGGAAAAGTTTTTCCCCAAGTTAACTGGTACAAATTAACTCACTAGCATTATATAATGCCATGGCAGGATTAGGAGGAGCCCAAACTATATGAATAAGGGTGACAATAGACAGACGTATTCTCTGCATTAATGCTTCAGAATTCAGTCAAGCCATTTCTATTAAATTTCAGATTGTAACATTAAAATCTAAATGTTTACAGTGTTTGTAGTCACCCTAATTTTTTTTTTACACTGGATCAGTCATAAACAGTATTGAACACACTGCAGTTTTCAGAAAACAAAATTAGTCAGTGCAGAATGGGAAAAAAATCATTAACTACTTCTTTAGTTCTATTAGACCCAGTTCACATGCTTATACTATACAATAAAAAAGCAATGCCCTTCCTAGCGAAAGCTATTGTAGCTGCATATCACTACAGTCTTCAAACAAACACATGAGGCGATTTCAATGTATATTTTGATGTTTGTAAATTTATTTCCAGGCAGAATACTTTTATGCAAGGTTAATGATTAGACAAATGGTTAACTGAGAATATTAAGTGGAGGGAAAAGGCAGGAAGGAAGGCAAGGAAGAAAATAGAAATAAAGATTGATTATATAGTTCATTTTGAACATTGGTGTTCTAATGAAATCCTAATGGCAACCAGCAAAAAACAACACCAACAACACTTTCCTGATCTAGAAGCAATTCTTTGTTTTCTATAGGCATTCTATATGAAACATTTTTTAACAAAATATAGGCTAGTGATTTCAACAGAACTCAATTCCAGTAAATATATTTAGGACAGACTCCCTATGATTGTAATAGGAAATACCAGAAGCAGTTTTCTTTCCAATTTATGTGCATTTATATTTTATATAGACCAACACGACACAAACAAGGGTCATATATACCAAAAATAAAGTATAGAATACCTACTTTCCAAAACACATCCACCCAAAGATTCCTAAAGTCTTCCTTTCAGCCATTACACTGATATTACTCAACATCAGCTTTGAACAGTCTTTCCCCAGGACATCCTGGCTGCACACAATAGCTCTGACAACAATAAGCAGCAGTACTGTTTTCATGTCTGGAAATGGCAACTATCTATGCAGCTACATTTTCAACTAAACACATAACTTAATGAAAATGGGAAGGATTAATATAAACATATGGTTCCAACCACAAAGCAAACAAAACCACCACCTTTGGACTTCCAACAATGTCAGCTTAGAAGGGGCATCTACCATCCTATGAAACAAGTCTTCTGACTGAACTATAAGTACACAAAGGTTTAAAATTGTACAGTGAAATACATTCCCAGATCACATTGTATTCTTTCCAAGGCCAAAGACAACAGACAATATAATTACTGCTTATTAGAAAAACAAATTCATTTTTCCCTAGCTGACACTCTAGAGGTTTCTTAATAGTTTGGGAGGGAGGTGTTACACCAAGTATTAAAAATTATTGCATTTCCCCTAATTATATAAAATTGCTTTTGAAAATGTTTAACAGGATATTTTGGAGGAAAAGAACAGATTTAAGTAGAATGTACTGAAAAGGGAATACTGAAGGGAGCAGCAGGGGATTGGCATTACCAATTTGGGAATAACCACAAACCTCACACTGCTAACCAACAGCCCTGCATGAATTTCTTTACTGAAATCTTGTTTTGTGATTTTGAAGCATTGGACTTTAAACCAGTCTCTTGAAACAATTCACTTCCTGACAATGTTGCAAAGTAAATGTGCTCAGGAGTTGCAATTTAGTTCACAATTCTCCCAGAACACTGATTTTTTATATTGCAACTACTACTTACACTTACTTAACCAAATGAAAACATAAATTATCTTCCATGTGTGCTTCTGTCCATTCAGAGGGCTTCAATGGGGAAAGCTGTGGGACGTATTACACTGTCCTGACTGACTACTAGAGTAGATGGACCCTTGGTTTGAACTACCAAGACTCTTCTTATGTTCTTATGTACTTTCTTGTGAGTTTCCCTCTGCATTTTCCAAGATGATGGCATTTTGGCTGAAAGGATGAAAGGATACAGTATTCCAGCTGCAGTCTATATGAATTATCTAATGGTACAGATGCAAGGCTCACAAAAGAGGACTTTTTGCTATGACTCTTTAGTGATCTGAAACAAAGTAAGTAAAATAGGGATGGATGGCAACAAAAGCAGAAGTGTATACATGAACTACCTGGAATATTGGGTTCTTCACCAGAGCTACTGCTATAAAAAGCAGCTGTATAACGTAAACCACGGCATTCTCAATGAAAAAGCAGAAAGACCTGCGCCTGGTCCACAACAGTGATGGCAGGTGAACAGTTAGAAGTCACATTTGAGGAAATGTATGATCTTCCATGTAATCAGCACTCATCAAAGCAGCATGAAAAAGGTATTAGGAAACGAACTGAATATTAAATTGCTATTATCATAATGTTATTCTACAAATCTATGGTGTGACTATATTTGGAATACTATGCAAAATCCTGAAGAGTATATGTCAAAAAGAATATTGTAGAGCTGGAAAAGATGCAGAAAAGGGAAGGCAAAATGACTGAGAAGTTTCACTATGAAGAAAGGTTATGGTGTTTAAGGCTGTTTAGCTGAGAAAAAAAATGAGTAAGAGAACACATAAGACGTGTGGAGAAACACTAGAACACAGCATTATCCAATGAAGCTAAAGATGGAGATTCAGGAGAGATACAAGGCAGTTTTTCACAAAATGAAAAGTTAGACCATGACATTTACTACCATGAGATATAGATGGCAACTAATGTGAATGTCGGTAGAGGATAAAGTTCATGAAAGCTAAGGTTATTGATGGCTACATTCCAATCAGCTCTAGTCTCAAAGGCTATATGCCTCTTTATACCAGTTGCTGAGGAACATGAGCAGAAGGGTCTTACTGCATACATGTCCTGCTTAGGTACTTCCCATAGGCATCTGATTTGGCTACTGTGTGAACAGAATGGTAGACTAGATAAGTTTTTGGTCCAATCCTCCATAAGTTTTGTCATGCCCCCCGGGCTTTTAGGTTCTGAAGCAACAAAAGAAGCAAAGCTTAGCCTCAGATATCTGACTGAAAAGCAGCTCAGGACTCATACATTTCATCAGCATTTATTCTGAAAGAACAACTCTCTTCAGTCTTATTAGATTTGGAGAGTGCGCTCCAGTCCAATTACCGTTGTGTAGATCAAATTTAGCCAAACTGGGAATATTTGTATATGCATATTAAATCGCATCCTTGAAAAATGGTTGATAATCAGGAATATTCTTCAGAAGTTCACAACTCAGTTATACAACATAGAGGTTTTGCCCTTGTGTTGTTACTTCCTTACTCTGAACCTAAAGTTATGCAATAGCTGTTCCTTTAAAAAACCTAATAAAATGGTTATACATCTATAATAATAATAATAATCTACCTAACTAGATCAATATTGTACATACAAATCAAAAACAAACTGAATAACGTCTGGTGCATGTAACACAAATAGAGCAGTCCTTTATATTTTAAACTCTAAATACATTTTTATATTGAATATTTCTTTTTTCTGAGTATGCATATGAGAACTAAAAAGCTGACAGTTACACTGAGAATGCATGTGAAGAAGCTAAACTTTGCAGTAAAAAAAGCTGTTGTGAATGTTAACAGAATGAAATGTAAAGTTCCTAGTTTTAAACTCAGTTCAGGTATTGGGTCGCTTATCTATGTCTCAACTTCTAATCTGCAATACAGGGATAATACTGGTTTATAATTAGTTATTTGATTTCTGGGAAAAATATATACAAAGTAACTTGGCCACCAGGGGAAAACACTATAAAAATGTTAAATACTATTATTATTACTACAAAAAAGCTAGGTAAATTCTTACAGTGACAAAAGAAAAATTCCACAGAGACTTTTGATAAACGACAGAGTATTAAATAAGCTGACATGCATCTGTGCTGAAGAACACAGAGGGCCAAATTACTTAGGAAATCTGTGGCAAAGGGTTTTATATAATTTCCTTTTTTTAAACTTGAGGGTCTACGGCAGAAAATACAACAGCAATGCCAAAAGCACCATTTTCATTATTTGATGTATAGCACAAATTAATTATACTTTCTGGTTTACATTCAGATGCAAAAATCAGATGCACTCCTTTTCCTTACCTTTCACTTTTGCAATAACTGTTCCTGCGGCACTTAGGATGTCAACTGAATTGAGACTCTGGTGTTTGCTAATTATGGCCTTTAGCACACGTAGTAGTTCACCCAAACGCTCATGAACAACATGATGCAGACAACCTTGATTTTCTGAAAGAGAAAAGTTAAGCTATTTAGTATGTATAAACATTATCTGCACAAAGTACCACAATTTTTCCCTTTTGCTATCAGGGATTTTTAATGACTGTCAGTTATATGCAAGGCTTTATCAGATCTATTCTGAATGCATAATCTAGTTCTATGTTGAAAAGTATAAGAACAAGTATTGCAACATTTCCAAACTGAGGATAAATAAATCCTTAAAGAAGAAACGTGAAGCTCTTGGGAATGGCTGGGAATGGGCTGTAGGATGCTGCTCAGGAGCAGAGACCTATCTAGTGTGGTCGCAGAATGTTCCACTGCCATGGCTGACTTGCTTTGTGCTATTTCTGTTGGTGATTACAGCAGAATCAAGCATTTCAGGGGTATTTTGAGGGAGGCCATAGATCCTCAGGATCCCAGCCAGCACTCTTTTCCTCACATATCTTCAGAGCTGTGCCAGCCATGTAGGTGGCATACTTCCCATCGGTTTCAAAATGTGGGCAATTTAAAAAAAAACCCTAAAAAATGAACACACACCACTTTCCACCCAAGTCACTGAGTTAGCAGGGATATGGATGTGGCAGGTGCTTCACCTTGAGTTGTCTCCCCAGGTCTGGGTAAGTAGGATTGCTCAGCAAGTTATTAACATATAACCCAGTTAAAGACTACTGAAATCAAGGCAATTCAGGACAAGTATTTCTTTACTCACACTCAATAGGGTTTTAATATATCCAATTATGTTTGAATTGCATTTGTAGTCATCAGAGAAAATACAGTTTTAAGCAAAAGGACAACTAAGAGGGAATTCCTATTGACACAGTGCTGTAAGCAACCAGTATATCTTGTTTTAGCTGCTGTGCTGAAAATGGCTTCCAAAAGCGAAATTACCCTGATTAAGAAAGCCAATGTTATTTTTTATTCAGTATCTCTGAACTAGTATTTCAGTTATGCACTGAGTTTTTCCTCTAGCTTTTCTTTGTCCCCTGAAATGTCATTACAGAACATATTGGACTAGAACATATCGGCCTGATGATGTGGACAAGGTGCGTGGACAAGTACATACCAGCACCTGTTTACTGGACCCTTGCCCGTCGTGGCTACTGTCCAAAGCCAAACACGGGATTGGTGCCTGGATCCTGGAGGTCATCAATGCCGGATGGCCGGGTGCCTGCCCCTCTAAAGGAGGCAGTGGTCAGGCCAGTCCTAAAGAAGGCATCCCTGGATCCAGAGATGGCCGTCAATTACAGACCGGTGGCCAACATCCCGTTCTTGGGCATGGTGTTGGAATGGGTGGTGGCGGGACAACTCCAAGCTCTCTTGGATGAGACTGATTATCTGGACCCATTTCAGTCCGGCTTCAGAGCAGTGTATGGTACTGAATCTGCCTTGGTCGCACTGTATGATGACCTGTGCAGGGAAAGAGGCAGGGGGAGTGCATCCCTGTTGGTTCTCCTGGACCTCTCAGCGGCTTCCGATACCATCGACCATGGTATCCTTCTGGATAGGCTAAGGGGGCTGGGAGCAGGAAGCACTGTTTGGCAGTAGTTCCCCTCCTACCTTGACGGCCAATTCCAGAAGGTGGTGCTGGGGGACTTTGGCTCTGCGCCATGGCAGCTATGCCATGGAGTACTGCAGGGTTCCATTTTGTCCCCCTTGCTATTTAATATCTACATGAAACCGCTGGGAGAGGTCATCAGGAGGTGTGGGGTGCGGAATCATCAGTACGCTGATGATACCCAGTTCTACCTCTCTTTTTCAACCAATCCAGGTGAGGCAGTGGCTATACTGAACCGGTGCCTGGCCGAGGTAATGGGCTGGATGAGGACCAATAAACTGAAACTCAGTCCAGACAAGATGGAGGTCCTGCTGGTGGGAGGTTCGAGCTCCTGGGTAGGTGACTTGGATCTTGTCCTGAATGGGGTTGCACTCCCTGTAAAGGACAGGGTCTGCACCTTGGGAGTGCTCCTCGACCCGGAGCTGTCTTTGGAAGCTCAAGTGACGGCAGTGACGAGGAACGCTTTCTATCAGCTTTGGCTAATCTATCAGCTGCGTCCCTACCTGGAGGACGATTGCCTAGCGACAGTGACACATGCATTGATTACTTCTGGGTTGGATTTCTGTAACGCACTCTACGTGGGGTTGCCCTTGAAGACAGTCCAGATACTTCAGATGGTGCAAAATAGAGCACCATCTGAATAGAATATATGGGTTCTCATATAACCCCAGTCCTCTGCCAGCTTTACTGACTTCCCATCGAAGTCTGGGCTCAATTCAAGGTGTTGGTAAACACCTATAAAGCCCTTAACGGCTTGGGACCTGGATACCTAAAGGAACGCCTGCTTCCATATTTGCCTTCCCGCCCCCTGAGATCAGCAGCAGAGGCCCTCCTTTGGGAGCCCTCCGTGAGAGACATCAGGAAGCAAAGTACCCGGAGGAAGGCTTTCTCTGCACTGGCGCCCCATCTGTGGAATGCGCTCCCCAGAGAGGTCCGCCTGGCGCCATCATTATTTGTTTTTCAGCACCAGGCTAAGACCTTTTTATTCAAACAATATTTTAACAATGTATAATATTTATAGGTTTTAATTGTGCAGCCAGGGTGTTTCTGGGTTTTAACTATATTTGTATTATATTTATTTATTTGTGTGAGCCGTCCCGAGGCTATATAGCAAGGGGACGGCATACAAAACCCTCTAAATAAATAAATAAATAAAAACATATTGGACTAGAAGGATCAACCATATCACTCACTGTAAGGCAGTATTATATGTCCATATAGGATAAAAGATGGATAAATTATATGTGAATCCTATGCAGAATTAATTCATTCCAAAATCTATGTAAATTATTCCCAGGTCAGTGTACTTAGGATTGCAGCCTTACACTTTTAAACAATTGGCATTATAATTACACTGACAATATTTTAACACACTGAAAAGTTTAAATGTCAATTTTAGTCTTGTGAAACAAACTAGTAAGCAAATTATGTACCATTGTGTTTCTCATCATGATTTACTGTTTATTTTAAACTGTATTAAAGGAAGTTAGAGTTCCATGAAAGGAATATAAAGGTGAGACAGTCCAAATCTTGACATAATGAAGATCTATTATATTCAAAGCACTCTGATGACCTAATTCTATTTCCTATTGGTGTATCACAAAAGACAGGAAAGAACATGGTATGCTGTACTGGAAGTTTAGTTATTTCTGTCAGTGCTGCAGAAACCAAAGTACATGTTCATCTATTGTTTTCTACAAAACATACCTTTGAAATTTAAATCAGGCAAGCACCATTTTAAATGGGAAAAACAGAAAGAATAAAATTACTAACCAGTTCATAGAAAAGAAGTCAAAGGAGAACTGGGGTGTTTGCTTTTGACTAGAACAGAGAATACAGTTAAGTAATTTCAAATCATAATAGCTAGGCACTAGGATCCAATGCAACTAACAAGTATACTTTCCCATATTCTTGTGATGTGAAGATAGCACAACGGTACAAAGTGTTGCAAAATAATTAGATCAGTCAAACCATATAGTACATTTTAACTACAATCCTAGATTAATATTGTATCAAACCAGTGTTCCATTTAATGCATTCCTCACCAATTCAAAATTCAACTTGATTTTTCTTCTGGAAGTAGATGAACTTTCAAACTTCAGGGCTTAGATTTTAATCTATTTAAATTGAGGAATGCTGAATTTTTAACAATTATACCCACTACCATTTATTCTGTTCCAAAGAAGACAGGGGAGGGGAAAGTTCTTAAAATAGAATCTGAAGCTGCCAAAATTTCAGTTCCAGTGTAAAGCTGAAAAAAATGCCAGTATCCTTGAGTGAAGCATTATACACCAACATTTAAAAATTAAACCTCTACTAAGAAGAAAATAGATAAGGAAAGGGCAGAGTATGCAATTTTTGTCCCAGTCAATCACATAAAAGCTTGGGGCTCTTTTAACAAGCAGGGTGTTTGATTAATTGCTTAAGCTGTAGGCTTGACAGCTCGCCACCACACTGAAATCAGAAATTTAATTCAAGCCTGTAAGTATGCTTGCTATATCCCAAAGATTATTATGAAAGTGAGGCATATAGGAAGGGCCAACATTCAATATCATGTTTTCTGTATAGCAGCTGTTTCAAAGTGGGAATTTTGGCAGGTACAAACTAGTGCTGCTATACAGAAAAAAAAGTCAGGGGAAAAAAGTCAATATGCTGTGCTTGCAAAAATACTCCCATTACACATTAATTAAAAGGCATTCTAATGTTGAATGAGTGGCTATACCAAGGTCCAAGTGTTTGTAAACAGAGATAACAGTAATGTTCACTGGACTAAGATCCAGAAATGAGATTTTAGAGCTCATAATGTGCAAAAGAAAGATGAGCCTTAAAAACTCCAGAATTCTTCAGCAACCAGCATTAACATAAGAGTTAGAGAGTAATCCTTTGCTTAAGCCCTTATTTGAAGGGTTACTCGAAGAAAACTGCTACTCAGAAACCTAAAGTACACTCACTGCAGGAAGTCCAGTTGCCTCAAAGGTTCCCTAAGTAGCAGACTGGATTCCATCAACAGCACTTTCCCCAGAATGCTCAGCTGTCTTGAACTATAATTATATCATCTTCAGAACAAGATTTTTAAAAATTATAACCAAACTAATGACAGGTTCAGAAAGATCTTCACCCGCTGTCAAATGCAAGAAACCAAACTTACTCTACAGCCTTTGTTTACATGTGGCTCATGTTCACTTTCTTTGGTAGCATAAGAAAGAAGTGCAGTACAGGTAATACCAAGTGGGGGGGATAATAAACACTGTACTCTGCTTCCCAATTTGCCTCACCAGTTTACCTCTCTTCAAAAATTAAATTATATAGCACAACAAATTGAAGTGACTCTTGGGCAAAACAGACACAAAACTACAATTTAAGAGATTAAAATAAGGGCTGGAGAAGAAACTAGTTAAAATATTATCATCTAACACTAAATAGAGAGGCTTAGGTCTCATAAATCTGGCTTCCA